GAACTGAGGCTGCAGTGAAAACGCGCATTTAGAAGGACGAATATATTGGACACTGAGAGGGCACAGGGTCTCGTACAATGCCATTCCACATGTTACTAAAATAATAAAATAGATAAAAAAGAAATCTTGTTTTCAGTTGAGTAGCCTATACAACAGCAAATGTATGATTTTTAGGAGACTATGATTTATGGGGAGAACAATACGTAAATAGAGAAACACACATCCAAGATTTTTGAGCATTTGCTGGATATGAAGCATGATTTTTGGGACAATATTTACAATGAGGCTTGCCTATTTTGTTCATCTGTTCCATAGCCTAATTTATTATTTTATATTTGCACTTCTGCTTGTGTCCAAAGATTATTGCTTTACCTAAATTTGCATCAAATATATATCTAAATACTGTATATATTGAATTTAAGATATATTGAATAATTTAAGATATTGAATGGCAAACCTTTCACTGTTTTTCAATTCCGTTGGGAAGAGAACAGTTTGAACAAGGTTTAGTCACACACATCTGATCACTTTTGCATTTATGAAGTTCACAAAAATTTCTCGAGTCGTTTTCTGCTGTTTGGATCCAACAACCACAAAATGACGTGTCCCAATCCCAAACTAAAATATGAAATATCAGAAGCAGAAACATGAAATGGTTCAAAAGACTTGAAAAGATCACTTTTCAGACACGTCCCACTGGGAAAACAAACATGGAGGTTATGTTATTAGTTCTTTTTCTCAGACTGGAGTGTATTTCATCCCTGACAGTTTATCTTCCTCAGAGTCACGTGATGTTTCTGTGTCGTGTCTGGTCAGATGATTTAAACAGGTTTGTCTCTGTCTTCCTCTCGGTGGAGGCAGGACGACAGCGCCACCTGCAGTCCCACTTCTCAGGACAGTTCCAGGTGTGTGAGAGTAAAAAAGCCCCTCGTCCGGTTTACAGTCTGTGGGCACGTTTATTTCGATTGCTTCTTTAATCCAGCGGTGATTCCCAGTTCATAACGTGTTTCTCTCTTTTAACTGGTCAGAAAACGATTTGAGTTGTTCCTGTTCTGCTTTGTGTTTTGTTGCTCGTGTTTCGCCTTCGCTGTTTCCTTCTCGCGTTCTGTTCTATGTTCCTTTTTCGTGGACTGAACGCTCCTGTTTCTCCGATGTGTGTTTTATTGCAACATGCAGGGGATTTCGTATATGAGTTACATTTATGCTCCGGTTCTATTTTGTCTTCGGGTGGACGAGTATTTGTCTGAGTTTTCTGTACGGTTTTACTGTTGTGTTCATATTGTGTTTTTTCATCGCCCTCTGTACTTTCTCTGTTATCACGTGACTTGAGGAAACGCTAGTGACCAGTCAAACTGTCAGGAGGTTGAGAAAAGAACCTAAAACAGAATATTAATGAATTCATTGTATTGAAAAGATTTTTTTTCTGATTTTATTTTTACTTTATTTTAGTTCATTTAAGATGAAATTATCTCACAAGAGTTTGAAGTGGTGAATGCAGGAGCCAAATTAACACTAAGAGAAGTTGAATTAACACTAAGAGAAGTTCAATTAACACTAGAGGAAGTTGAATTAACCTCAACCACATCAAGTTCCTCCAGTTTTTGCTGTGTAGGCATTGTACAGTTCCTGGGTCACATACAGCCCTTTTTTTTTTTTTTTTGACTCTGACCGGTCTGTTTAAGCTTATTTGGAATTACAAAATAAACATATTTTATCATTTTATCTCATACATGCACTAAAGCTGCATTGACTTTATTTTAGAGGTGTTTTTTAAATGACATTTTTTGTAAGGCAACCTCACTTCTTCATTTCTAAGTCATAACATAAACTCTTCAGTCTGACCAGCTCATCAAAACAAAGCCATTTACTGCTTTTATAAAGAAATGCAATTAATTTAATATTATGCAGAACTGAGTTAAGCATTTTGGTCTAGCCCTCCACAGTATTTTCTGTTTCTCATGTCACCCCATGGAAAAAAAATTATAAAAATTACCCACCCCTGTATTATAGTATTTCATCGCCGAGAAAGTCTCTGATTCTGATGTGTCTGTGTTCTGGTGTGATGTGTCCATGCCAACCTAAACACGACCAGCCACTAAAATTAGCAACAATTATCGTAACTGAGGGACAAGGTTAAGTATCATGTGTCCCCAGTATGACTCTTAAATGATTAGTTGATTATTATTTTATTTTATTTTTATTTTTTCAAGCTTTTATTTTGAAGTGAATGAACCTGTCTGTTGCTAGGTTACGTATGACACAGTGAAGAGGTGTCAATCTCCAGGTAAGAGCTTCCTCATAACTCATTAATAATCTGTGTAATTTATATTAAACAAAGCAAATCAAAACTTTCTTCTCTGTCCTGTTATCAAGCAGACTTTATGTGTGATTTAATGTCATTTTTCTGTGAATCTTTCTCTCATTTTAGCTTCCCTGACTAGGAAAAATATTGGAAGTTAGCATAACATGAGCTACATTACTTGACATTACTTTTAGGTTTGAAATACTTTTACTTAGACATAGGTGATATAGTAAATTCTTCTGCTCACACATTAAATTCTTCACATTTCAAAACTGGGACACACCCGGGTTGCGATGGATTCGTATAAATAAAATTGTGAAAGAGTGCGTAACATTGTCCATTGTCATAATCTGAGGGACTTCTGTTGGTGCATTTTTTTTTTTTTTGCCTTGTGCTCATTTTCAAGCACTGTTTTCTGTATTTTAGTTAAACAAACCACAATATGTGCCCGCATTTACTGTTGGCAGGGAACAGATTAGTCCAAAAAAGGGACATCTGGGAGATTTCTTACATAAAACTTGGACAAATTAATGGTTTTGGATAAATCTGCTGGGACAAGGGACACAGGGCTCAAAACTGGGACTGTCCTGGGTCAGTAGGGACGTCTGGTCACCTTGATTTCTCATACAGTTCTTTTGTTAATTTTATAGTTAGCTCCCTAATCTTCAATTTTTTACTTCAGGAACAGAATGGCAACTCTTGGGGAGCAGCATCAAAAGGCTGCTTTAGTAATTCAGAAGGCCTGGAGGAGTTACCTGGTAGGTTTTCTGTTATGGTTTAAGGTTATAACTTTATCTACAACGTTCTTTTACTATTTTCAGTTCAGAGCTATCTTTGATTTTTACAAAGAGCTGATCAGACTTTGTAACCAAGGAGATCCTCAGATGATTCTCAAGACAGTCAACCCACGAGAGGTAATGTCAGAAATACTGTACTTATACTGTGCATAAAATTAACAAAAAATATTCTATATCTTTGTCAGTGTGAGCTGTTGGATGCTGCCGCTGGAGTTTTCCTTCGATTTCGTCTAGGCGGGGTATGAGACAGGACTTGGGTAGGGGTTGACCAGATGTCCTTATGTAGGACAGTCCCAGTTTTGAGCCCTGTGTCCCTTGTCCCAGCAGATTTATGCAAAACCATTAATTTGCCCGAGTTTTACACAATAAATATCCCAGGTGTCCCTATTTTTGACCAATTTGATACATGCCAACAGTAAAGAGAGGCATAAAATGTCATTTTTTGAGTAAAATACAAACAAGCCAAAACACAAAGAAAATGTGATTATACTGACTCACATGTTAGTCATGAATGGGCCGAGTGCAGAACAATTTTCCTTAATTACAAACTTGATTCACAGTTTTATTATTACGAAACACCACAAATCGGGGATGTCCCAGTTTTTGATTTTGAAAATCTGGTCATCCAATACTTAGGTCCATTTTAATATGATTCCTTTTTATATTGTTTCTGAATCTCTCCATTTTAGACCACTTTTCCTCCCAGCATCTACTATAAAATCTTCACCTATCGACCAATAACAGACCTGTGTGCTAGCAGTCCAAAGATCTACGCAAAACCCAGCAACAGACAGAGTGAGATCCAGCAAGCCTCCCAAACCACTGTGAAGGCTGCCCATAAGGGGTGGTACCAACGCACGGAGAACAACAACTGGAGACTATTTTCAAGCGTGGTAGACATATTTTAACATATTTTATTTTATGTTGTAATTTTTAACAGTTTAAGTTACTCAAATCAAGCGTAAAATGTGACAACTTGCCTATCCGTGGTTTCAGAATGATGAAAAGTTAGAACTGTTCAAAACTCCCAGTGACTTTTGACCAATCTATATTATAAGTATACTATACAGCATAATAACTTCCAACCAACAGTAGCTCTTTAGATGAGACCCAAACTTGCACAAAATCCTCTGTTTTCTATTGCCACTGGTAATGCTATATATGATTCAGTACATTTCATATTTTTGCAAGTTATATTCTTAGCAGCTCTTTTTCCCTTTGATAGTTGGTTCCTAAAAGTGACTCAGCAGAGTGTGACGATAATAGAAAAGTTGACTTTTGCTACACAAAACTGCAGAGGCGACAGGATGTACACAGGTGGAGGAAGAAGAAGAAAATCGAATGGCTCAAACAAATGTGAGTCACACGAATCATTTCAAATCATTTGCATTCCCGGTCTCACTGTCACACAGCAGATGGTCTGAATGAAATTTGCTACACACACATTAGCTAAGTTTTTGACTCTTTCATACTCGCTCTAGAAACTCATGAAATATAGAGCGATTTCGTGTATTGTGAATTAAAAAAGGTCATCTTGTGTCAGAATCTCTCTTTGATGCTGTTATTCCCTGCAGGTATAGCCGAGGTCGTTTGGAAAATCGACTGGGCCGAGTAGCGTCTCTGGTGGATAATTCAGCCCAGGAAGTGGTGAGCCATTTGGAGAAAAACTCTGAGGACATAATGGACTGGGAGCTGGATGAACTGCTGTCATGGTCGAATACACTCAACTTTGAAGAGTAAAAATATACTTTATTCTTTTATCTTTTTATATCCTAATAATTTGTTGTAAGTATATGTTTTCTATTGTATATTAACTGTATGTATTTGTGCAGATACATGACTCAGTGGAGACATCTAGCCTGTAGCCAGTCTTCAGAAATGAGTATAGGTATGGCATTTATAGATTTGTGTATAGCCCCATCTGCTGGCGTAGTTTGGTAAATCAAGCTGTTTAATATGTCTTTATTTTATTATTTCCCAGGTCCCTTTCATTATGTTGGGTGGGCCACAGAACATAATTAGGTCATCAGATGGATTTTCCAACTCCTTTTGTGTCATCAATAAAACAGTTCTACTCCTGCAATGACTCCACGTGTAATTATTCACTTGAAATAATCACTCATCCTTTTGTTTAATGACCCATAAGAAATGTCTTCTTTTGAAATGACTAAATGGCGAAATAGTTACTGGATAATTAAACCAGAGGGATTTAGTAACTGATTTCGTTATTGCATGTTTCATAACCAAATATTAGCTGCCTTTTTATCAGCATGTTAATACAGATTTAATACAGATTTGTGATTTTATATTATCCCAAATAACTTGATTATGGAAGATGAAAAGTTCTCCTGAATTTATTTATCCCACACATAAAATCCAAGCACCAGAGCTGTAACAGGCAGTAATTAATAGGGGCGTGCAAAAATAATGAAATATCGATATATATTGTATAATTTGGTGTGATGATACAGTATTGATATCGTGGGCTGCTGTATCGATATATTGCCAAGAGTATTTTTTGGTATATTTTACTAAATAATTTTGTAACAGTGTTACAGTTTTGTTGCTTGGTTAGAGGAAAGAAACTCATTTATACAACATTTTCACTGTTATGATGATTAAAATTGGTGTGTTTCATATGAACTTTGCACAATAATTGGTTTAACAAAGACTTTTAGTATCACAGCCATGATTTAGCCTTTATTTTCATGGAATCGATTTGAAATGTATTATATTGAATCATATCGAATTGAAAGCTCACTGTATCGAGATACATATCATATTGTGACCTATGAGTCGAGATATGTATCGTACGGGCAACTTGTTAATGATACCCAACTTCAGTAATTAAGTAATAATTCCAAATATCTAACAAGATATGCTAATCGTCACATCTACATTCCTAAAGAATACCGGAATATTCAGTAAATTAAGTCAGTGTCAAATTTGCTTTTTGTTTTGAACATAATGCAAAGGTTTTGATTCTAAGCAATGCTATTGTTTAGATTCTAAACAATAGCTTAGTAAACAGAGAAGGATAGAAAAGAGGGGGCACCCGGATTTGAACCGGGGACCTCTTGATCTGCAGTCAAATGCTCTACCACTGAGCTATACCCCCATACGACAATATATCGAGTCACTTCTGTATAAGAAATTGTAGCAAGATACCAATTTATTTGCTATTTATTGGTAAATATCTATAGGTAGATTTGTCTTTTGTGTAATATGACCGATTTAACGCGTTTATAGAGTATATATTTGAAAGCCGTCGACATAAACAGAAAAGCGAAAAACGGATCTGACTTGCGCCGGAAGTGAAGTAAATTACGTAGAACTGCACCGGAAGTTGTTGCTCGTCGAAAAGAAAGTAGAACAAGCGGAATCACGATGGTAAATATGAGCTTTACCGATCTTTTTATCCCAGTGATTGTCAGAATGATTTATTATTTATATGCTTTGATACAATTTGATGAAATATTTCCTTCTATTGGACAAAAAGCCGACCTTAGTTTTTCTGTTAACCTACGGATGTCGATTTGATTAGTCACTGAAGCTAGCCGATGCTAACTCATCTCTAGACTTTTATTTATTGCCCATATTCTTTGTTTTCCCTGTGAATTGTTTATTAACTAAAGCCTGTAATCTGCATTTGTATTTATACTTTTCACTGCAACTAACTGTATTGATCATAGGATACGCGAGGGCTTCGATCTCAAATGAAAGACAGTGTCCCGGTGGCAGGTTTCTGTCCGCAGGGAGCCTACGGTCTGCAAGATTCTCTTAGGAGCGGGTAATTTTGGTTTTATTTGGAGAGTTTTATAATATACAAACGTAACAGTGTATTAAAATGAAATGTATTTGCTCTGTTGCATAGCTTCACCAGTGTCAAGAATGAGCTCCTTCCCAGCCATCCACTAGAGCTGTCAGAAAAGAATGTAAGTTCACAAAAATAATCAAAACAATGAACATTAAATTAAAAGTAAATTATTGATTCTATTGTTTAGTGCTACCATTTACTTCCTTTCTGTTGATTAATGTTTAATGTACTTCAGGTAACATAATATGGACGGCCTTAATCTGCAATTGTTAGTGTGTACTGTTTCTTTACACTTATTCTACAGTGTTATTTTATTTTAATTTTTTTTCTCTTGTTTTCAGTACCAGCTAAACAAGGACAAGATGAACTTATCCACACTCAGGAACATCCAGGGTCTTCACGCACCACTCAAACTACAGATGGAGTACAGGGCAGCTAGACAGGTGTGTGCCTCAGGTTTCTCACTGCTAATGTATTATTTATCAAATTAAATGAAAGAAAACACATGGCCAGTCTGCAGTATCTAGTATCGTGGAACAGTTCCATGTACCGTATTTTCTGGGCTATTAGACGCAGTCTTAAGCCTCTAACCCCATCAGAAAACTACCGCGCGCCCCACAATCCAGAGCGCCTCATACACGAATCCACTCAGGTGTTCCAGCACGACTTCAGTAAACTACAAAGCCGCACCATCCACAGCACACGCAAACACACACAGAGCAGACGACGATGGTGCAGTGAAACACACCCTCAGACACACTCATCATTCCACGCAGATGAGGAACGGAACAAAGGAACGAACCGAAAAAGCGAGTCCAATGTGCCACTCTGAGCCACAACTGAACAACTGAGTCACTGCGAACACACCAACAATCCAGCGGTCCCAGACAGCACCCTCCCTACACGCCACAACTGAACAAAGCCCAGAGTCACTGTGAACGCACCAAACAAAGTCCAACTGACCCATCGAACTGTTGTGTTTCGTTTAAAGTCCAGTGCAGTTTATTTGTGAAAAAGTTTGAAAATAGACCATTTAATGACAGTGCTTCTTATAATCCAGAGCACCTAATAGCCTGTAAAATACCATAGTTAAGCAAGTAATAGACTAATTTCAGATGATATATTTATCTAACTGATTGAACTAAATTATCTGCAGATTCAGCGCCTGCCGTTCTTACCCAGTTCAAACCTGGCTCTTGACACGCTGCGTGGAAGTGACGACATGATCGGCTTTGAAGATGTCCTCAATGGTAAATCCAGCACAGCCATTATGCATATTTATATAATGAATTATCTAAATATTAGGTTTATGTATTCTAAATTTGTTTGTGTCTTTGCAGATCCAGCTCAGAGTGAAATCATGGGAGAGCCACATCTTATGGTTGAATACAAACTGGGATTGCTGTAAATTTTCGTGGCTTTTTGTTGCACAATATTTCAAGGGTCCAGTGAAGAAAGTAAAAGTGCGTTGTATTAGGCAGTTTGAGAGCTACATGTGTGGGTGGTATTTCTTAATAAACACTTGACTTGAGCACTGGTCTACTTTTGAATAATGCTTTTAATTTTGTTCAGGGTTTGTCACTTACTTGTTTCTATGGATATGTCGTTCCTCTGCCTTGAATGTTTCACAGAGCTGTTTGTTGTTATACTAGCTTTTCTCCTTGGAGATGTCATAGCTTTGTCTAGAATGTCAAAATGTGTGTTTTTCTAGGTATTTTTGAGCTATAAAATCACGTGTAATTGAATAAATGTAAGGTAGAACTGTTCAATGTCATTCTGTGGAATATTCCAGGCAGAGCAATGACATATCCATAGAAACAAGCAGGCGATGGACACTCAACTAAAAAAATTACATAGTGGTAGATAGTCACATTTTTATACAGTTCTTTTCCACCTTCAAGGCAGCCCTTTATAACAAGGACCCATTCACACACACAGACACTAGGGGTGAAGTTGGTCAAGTGTCCAAGGACACAACGGCAGCATTCATCTGTGGGAGCTAGAATCGCACTGCCAACCTGTGGGTCAGTGGATCTGACAACCAATGATATTTTTATGTCGAGAGGGGGACCTCTCTCTCCTAGTGCAGCTTTAAACTAATTTAATTTAATAATAATGACATCTTAGAATTGAGTAATTTGCTTGATGATACTGGCAGAGAAGACAGGCTGTTTTTTTTGGATATTGTTAGTAATTACAGAAATATTCACCATAAACAAATACTACCTTAGAACACTGTCTTGTCCTGCAGCTCAATATTAAAACTACAGGGGGATTCCAATTCTAGAATAATGTACGTGAACTCAACATGACTACAAAAAGCAAAAGGCTAGTCAAGGTCGGTGGTGTGGGGGGGAGAGAAGAAACGTAGAGGTTCTGTAACTCACTGTAGCAATCAATTGAATCCGCACCACCATCGGACCAGCCGTCAGTGAATCGCACAGCGGCCATATTTTATACCATGTACGAAAGAATATGTATCTCGCTCAGGGTGGTGTATGTCTTATAAGTTGATTAAACTTAGTATTTTTTTTTCTTTAAATAATGTGCACTAAGAAATTATCAATGAAATCCACGTGCGTAAATTTACACCACAAAAAAGCGGTATTTTTGTTTTCGCTTTGACTCGCAAAGCATTCTGGGTAAATCTCCTTAAGCGACACTTTTTTTTCAGTCACTTTCATTTATTTACATCGGAAAAACAACATTTGTGCTACCAGTTCAAGACCATGCATTACATTCTAAATTTAATAGTTGGTGAAGTCGAGTTAATTAGGTTCTAAATGTAAATGCGAGTTAATCCAAACAGGAAATAGCTTTATTTTCTGCAGATAGGCTTCTTATGTCTTTATATTTTTAAATCTGTAGGGCTGATTTAAAATAAATACATAAATAAATAAATACATCGGTAGATGAATACTCAAAGTTGAAACGTTTAGCTGGTGAATCTTTATTTCTTCGATGCCGTACTTGGTAGAGACAATTTGTACTTGTCCGTGGTTTGTTGCTTTCTCCGCTAGATGGCACTGTTTACCTTCAGAAAATGGTCTCTTGGGGTTGGGTTTAATTCTAATTATTCACTTTGTTTATTATTTCCTCGAAACCGAATGGTGGCCATTAATCAAAGGAGAGGAAATGGATTAGTGGGTAGAATTAACATGCAACACAGCTAATTTTCCCGGAGTTTTCCCAAGCCAGATGTTAACCTACTTCGCACTACATAGGCCCATTAAACTGTTTGTTGTTGAGAGCGCAGTTATAAACATTTAGCTTTATTGCCTCAGGGACCTCCTCCATGAGCCTGACTTTTCATAGATGACTGAGTATGATGTTATAGTCTGAGGCAATCTAAGACTCATGATGCTGTCTTCTACTTGCAACAGTGCAAGAGGAGCAGGATAAGGTTCTGACACAGGCTACATAAGAATTGTAACATTAAAATGTTTGGGCCTACATCCTCCATAAGTTTGGTAGCCTTTATGTTGGGCTTAAGTGGGCCTGTAGAATAGATCTTTCATATTCTCACACTATAAGTAGTTAACGCTTGACATCCTACACACTTCAGCGACATCATGAGCTCTTTTTTAAATATATATATATTATCATTTCCAAGTTAGCAGAACAAATAGGTTTTTAGTAAGTGAAAAAGTCAAGTGACTCATGTAAGAGCAACTTTTGCCAGATCTGTTTCTCTGTAAGAAAAAAAAAAAGAAGTTTCTGACATAAAAGCTATCAGATTTTTCAAGGTAGGCCTAATATACTAACGTTGTTAAGTTATGTGATATATTATTACCAGTTTACTAATTTTTACTGGGATTGTGTACTTGTTCTTGGGGCTGGGGACTTGTGAGGGTCTTCAGAGGCATTGCAAAGGTTGTCCACACAACAAACATAAAAGAAAAAGTGAGTTTGAATTCTTTACATTCACTTTACTTTACATTTGCTTCATTTACTACTTTATATCAGTATTAAGCCCATAGACATGATGATATGAACTGTTAACATGCAAACTTGAGAGACAAACAGTACATATTGTTTTGAACTGAGTATGTGTTATTATTAGGGGGGTCTTTGGATAAATGTGGGGCTCTGCAGATTTTGGAATGACTGGACTAGGTTGTATATTTTGAGTTTTGTCTAAACCATGTGAACTCTAGTCGAAATGTAGCACACAGGTTAATGTTCCTTGTTCCTCTGCAATCCTCTCCCCTCACACACACACAGAAAGAGAGAGAGAGAGCAGACAGAAACCATGTCTCAGATCAGGCAGGACACCTCTTCGTACAAACCCTCCTCTCTCCAGCAGGATGTGTGCTAACTGCTCCACAAATCACAATGGCCGCCGCAGGAAGTGAACAGAAGAGACAGCAGGTATCAGACACTGCCACTCATGGTTTTATATTGGCAACACTTTAACTTGTGAGTAGGGTATAGATTACGCTGTTATAACACCAAATATAGAGTAGTAGTAGTAGTGGTAGTTACATAATGCTGTAAGATAATTGATACGTTACTAATTTTAGCAAGTGAATGTATGGCACACTATTTTGTCCATAAATGGCAAGGCAATTTTATTTGTATAGCATAATTTGAATGCAAAGTGATTCAAAGTGGTTTACAGAATAAGAAAGATATAAATATCACAATACAAACACATAAAAACAGAAATAATCATAATAAAATGAACTTTAAAAGAGTGCAGAATAAAAACATTTCAGTCATTTGCACAGTTAAAAAGAGCCCTTTTGAGCCTGGATTTCAGTATTGTCAAAGAAGAGCCCTGACTCACATCTTCGGGAAGCAGTGAGATGCAGAAATGATTTCCTAACTCTGAGCATGTTTGTTTATCCATCTTAGTAAGTATGTTTGAATGGGAAAAAAGGACAATTTCTATAGTAGGCCTATATATAAACAGATATTTTGGTTGGAAGAGCTAAGTTGGCGCTAAGGTTTTTGATCTGGTTGCTCATGTAACATGTTAATTTAAAGTCTTTTAACAATGGAGCATAACCCAACCCCCCTACCGCTGTTTTAAATGTATTTAGGAGCCTGTAATTATTTATAAAAACACATGGATTTTAAAAATTTTAGTCTCATTCTGTGGTTACATGTGGTTGGATGTGCTATGAAAAAAACTCTGGATGAGTTATGGAGGTGCGTTGGTCATTCTAGGGGAGGATAGTTCCCTCTCAATCCCCTCTTGGGGCCGCCCCTGGACATAAGTTGTTTTGCCTTTGCCCTGACTCATATAATATGTATTGAAGTCTCCTCCCATCTGTGGATGTCAGTGAGTGAGTCAGCGTGAAATATATGCAATATAAAGCAAAAAAGGAGTTGTTATTGCTTTGCCTGGAATGTTCCATAGTATAGCATTAAATGCATACAGTCAAAAAACCTACATTCTCACAGTGAGCGGGGTCGTCTCGGCACAGACCTGACCTGTAACCTGACCTTGTAGCATCAACTGCTTGTCTTCATGGAGATAGATAAAGTCAGTGCTGTCCTATGGAATACTCTCCTGATTCATCAGCCGGTTTCACTTTGTGGAAACTGTCTGACCTCGCAGCATTAGGATTCGTTCACTCAACGGTAGGCGGATACTTTTTTTAAATTTAACCAATCGTATGTAATGCGCTGGAATGCTCAGTGGTGTCCAAGTAATTGCCGGCACAACCACAAACAAAGCAGTGAACATGTCTGTCAACGATTATTGTTGTTTCTGTGAGATGAACTTGCAAATTAAAGGTGCAATAAAGAATGCGAAGTTTGTATTTGACGAAGGAAATATTAAGGAGGATAGCATTTGCAGTCTTCTATCGCAACTCGGGTTGATTCAGCTCTTCACTGATTGGCCGGTGCGTGGTCTACAACTTAGGGGGTTCTTGCAAACGCAAACCGTCTAGTGTATTCCGATTCCTGACCTAGTCACTGGAGGGAAATGAAATTAAGCAGAGGCACTAGGTGGCGCCAGCCTGTCTATTGTAATACTGGTTGAAATGGGAATATTTCAGGGAATGAATCTCCATGGAGACAAGCAGGTGGCACAACCTCCACCAGAAAAGTTAGCATACCTGGTTTGAAAATGAGACATCTCAACATGCATGAAACCACACAGCTTCCGATAGGCCCTATATGGTCTATGTGCGTCAGATACAGATGTTATGAAAGCTGAAAAAGTCAAGTTAGCATAACAAAGAACCCGTATATATATATATATATTTAGACACCAATACAAGCCAGCAGCCCCATACACATTTTACCTTTTACTTCACCATCTCTCTCATTGTGTCAGATATTTTTCCACTTCCATTCACTCCCGAACAGAACATCCTGGCTCTGAGCAGTCCATAAATAGTTGTTGATTGGTGCCGTTTTGCTCAAATAGCTGGATTCCCACAGCGCCTCAGTGGGTGGTAGGAGCTAGCTATTCTCCACGTTAGCTTTTATTGACGGTCTCCTATACCCTCCAGAAGCACGCACTGACATCACAAACGCAGTCTTCCCACTTGTTTCGGTAATTTGGTGATACAG